CAGATGTAAAGATTTTCATAAGTACTTGGACTACACCTCTCTTGTTTAGCTAATAGTTAATACAAAAGCATCAGTGCTACTGTTGATATGTCATTTCATAACATACAAAAATGCTTAATAATTTAAATTAAATCTACAACAAATTTACAACAAGACATTCAATGCCACTTCCATATGCTTACAATCTCAATTTCCCCCAGATCCCTTAAAATAAAAACATCAACTGAACATATATGTATTTATCAAAACAACAATTATCACAGTCATCTCAACCATGTAATAATGCGTGGATATAGACAATGTGATTCCAACAAACCATCCTGTACTGAAACAAAACATCAAAGCCGAAGACATCTACATAACCTTAAAAAGAAAGAGGTATTTTCATCAATTAAATATACAGACCTCATTTACTATCTTTTGCACCAAAAAATATTTTAAAAATGCATTTCCATTGAAAAGTCATAAACGACTTCTGGAGCCAGACGTACAGTATATGAGGAGGGGATAGAAAATGGCCACCCTGGCATACGGAAAAATAGGAAGCAGCAACATAAAGAATCATTTATTCAGTCATTCATCCATAATCAAACTGTTCTACTGTCCAGGCAGGGACATGTAGTCTAATAATAAGCAACGTTTGTAATTTGCTGGAATTGCGGATGACATGGGCGTGTTCTGAACTGCTCACTGTAAGTACAAAAATTAGGAACTCATTGACTTACTCTATTGCTTTTTGAAGACAATGGTTGATTAACATCAGATCATTTACATGCATGAACCAATGTAATTAAAAATAATTCAGTTCCATGGTTCAAAGACAATCATGTTTTCTGGTAAAGGAAAATAAAATTTCATATCGTCATAAAAATTTGCATGGATATCCCTTCCAACAAACAAAGTATATTTACATTAATTTTAAGCAAATTTATAAATATTTGTTATAAAACCCGCAGTCAAATGCTCAATTGTTCTCTGTTTAGTAGAAATCATTAAAAATATAATACATGGTGATTACACGAATCACATACTCAAAGTTTATCTTAAATCCTACTTTGACCTTATATTCCGTCTTGTCTTTGCCAAACTTTCAACACTATGGTTTCAGTTGACAATCTTTCATCATACAGTCTCTTATTAGCAAAACATTCCTTTACGCATTAAGTAATCAAATTTTCACTAAGAATTACTCAAAATTACCATAAAACACAATATACCACTGGTTACCTACCAATGTATACATAAAATGTGACAGTGGCTTAAACTTCAATTATTACAGGTCCAATGTAAGATTAAATCTGTCATAGTGTCCTGTTATTGTGATATCTGCTGAAGAGTTCCAAAACCCTTTGATGCAGTTTAGATAACACTTGTACACATAATACTGTTTGACACTCAATTTACATTCTGTATAAAATTTTTAAATTATTATTATTGAAAATGCTAATTTGTTTTAACTTCATACATCTATTTCTGAAAAATAATTAAAACAATTACACAATGATAATACTACCTAACAGGTGTGTGGGAGCTTATTCTACAACCAAAATTGATGGAAGACAAAAACACAAATACGAACGTAATATTTACAAAAAGATGTTTCAGGATTTTGATTTGAGATGGAGTATTGAAGAAATTCCTAAACACTTTGTAACTATTGTTTTGTTTTAGCACCAGTATTTCTACTTTAACATTGGCAAAATCATTGAGATAAACAGAACATTAAACTAGTGTGAAGATAAAACACATCATTTACAACAGACACATTATTTTTCCACTCAGAAGAGAAACTGTTGTCCAATCTTTTTCTCAAAATATGTATATATATTCAAAGAGAAAACAAAATAATTAAATGAAAAGTTACAGAGATACCATATATCAGATCTTTATGTGTGTATCTAATGAATTCAGTGATCCTTTCAAAATCTCAAAAAAGTAAAATTGCAACACTTGGATGTTTTTTCCTTCCTACAGAGTTGATGAAATTTCATACAATGTAAATAAATACAAGTCAGTATATAAGGCTCTAATCTAGTATAACCGGTCACTTAGATCTCCAGCTGATGTTAAAATCTACACTGGTACAGATGTCAGCTGTATCCATTCTAATGTAGCCTTTATTTCTGAGACGATGAAATTGTAGGAAAAAAATACGAAAAAATTGCAGGAAGTATAATTTGGTCATTTTCACAAACCTTGCATGGGGCCAAAAAATATACTGATATATACTGTATCTGACAGAATGCCATGTAGTTTCTAATGGATAAGCTTAGACATAGATTTCAATCATTTCCTGGAAATTATTTCACAAAATATGTGCTCATTAATTCAAATCCCTTTAATATGCAGGAAAAACAAATCTGAACAGTTATGTGACTTTAAAAAAAGAACATCTTTGGCAGAATGTCATTTTTAAATGTAAATGGATTATGTACAATCCAATACAAAAACCAAAAAAAAAACCAAAAAAACCTAAACATGACAAATTGCATTATATCAGGTATGCAAACAAGATCAAAAGTGAGCTTAATTTGAGAGCTGACAACATTCAAGAGAAAAAATTGTGGACACAATAAATCACAAATGTTGTAAACTGAGTCTTCAAATAATACAAAATTTTCAGCATTTTGAGGACAGACATCTTTACCCTGTAAAAACTACTTTACATTATCCAGCTGTTTTACAATCCTCATCAATGTTTAGCAGTTGAGATTAATGGATTTATCATTGAGAATAAAAATAGTTGGATAGTATCAAATTTTCCATTGTATAATGACGGTGGATTGTAAAATTTTCATGTACATTTTTCTATATATTATGTTGTGACATCTTAAAAAAAATTCACTGAACACATCAAAAATGTCTGGAATGTATAATTAAGTTGAGGTTTGATAGTTTATGAAAAAAAATGAAATATAAAAATCCAGAATGTTTAGGAAACAGCACATTGAATATAAAGTGATATCTTCATGTATGAGTGTATTGTCTTTCTACAGCACAATATTTACATGTGCCGTGTATACCAATGTTTTACACCAGTTTTTATCCAACGTATCTGTAATATTAGCTACTGAGGACAGTCTCGCTATTTCTAAAAATGATATCTCAATACCAGAAATCCTGTTACTATCCTGAGGTAGTGTACTAGGCCTTTATTACCTTAAATTTACGCCTTTTCTAAAATCTTGATATGGTAAATAAATTCTACTGAACACATACATAATCATACATGCATTATCTCACATACAATGATATGTAATACAAACTGCCCTCTATTATTTTGACTCAGTTGCATAACATAATAGGCTCTAAATGAAATGGAAAATATTAGTCTTTTAGAAATAATTTCTTGAAGAAAATTTGTTATATTTTCAATGAAATCCAAGAAGAGTCAAGGAAGGACTAATTGTCTTTAAGGTTAAAAAATATGTCATTTTTTTCATTCTTTTTTTTTCTTTGAAAATAACTTTTTCTTCCGTGAAAATGTGCACTTACTTGGATAAATTTCTGAAAAAATAGACACATAATGTTGCAAAATGTTGCATTTGAGACCTTCACTTTTTCAATTTATCCAACTGACAGACTAAGAAGTATAGCAAAAAGAAGTTATCATATGGAAAACAATTTTTACAAAATTTCAAATTTTGAAGGGATTGATGGACGGCAGTGTACTGACGGTTATGTAATATCTTCATATGCATAATATCTTCATTTTTTTTTCACTGATATAATTTACAGATCTACACATCATGAACATTTGTCCAACCTCAACAGAATCTCCACTCAAATAGTATCAACACTCAAAACAACAATACAATAATTGCATCATTAAAGCATGTCCATTTCCCAATTCATATATATATATCAATTTATACAACTTTATCTAAAAATATATATTTGATAAAAACAATATTAAAACGCGAAACATTGTGCATAGCAAATCATGTTATAACAGTCAGAGATGAAATTGTCAGTCAGGCTGTTATTTATATGTTTGCATGGATTATAAGCTTCAAAATAATAAACTAAAATATGCAGGGTTATCGCCCTTGATCTACAAGGTCCCTTTCTCCTTGACTTATGGTATTGCTACATGTACCTAGGTCACTTTCCCATAAGCATTTGAAACAGTGAAACCAGCTGAATCTACAAGATGCATACCAAGTAAAGATCAGGGCCTGTATTTATGAAACCGTTCTCATGCTCAAGCATGGATTTGGTTGTCAAGCCTTAGATCTTGTTCAAGTTAAGGCTGATTTTTTAAAAAGAATTTGAAAGGACTTCAAGTCAAAGTTATAATCAATGTTTATATTTGACAATTGTATTATCTTATATGATTTCGGAGAATTATAAAAAAGTTTGCTTGAGTATAAAATCTATGCTGGAGCATGAAAATGGTTTCATGAATATGGGCCCAGCTGGACTTAGACTAGACTTTGGAATAGTCAACATAACCAAAGAATTAGCAATATAGGTACTTGTTAGCAACTAACTAGTAGATCACAACTGCAAAATTTCAGAATTATTCTGAAACTGTTTTGTATAAATTTTGGAATGTTTCCAAGCCAACTGGATCTTTTCAACCCATTTATGTGAAAGTGACCATAATATCTAAATTTTCCTGGTAAATATATTTTGTAATGTAAAATGATTTATTACAGCTATAACTTGTCATAACAATGACTATTCTTTTGAAATATGATTCAAATAATATCAGACCAACATTGAAAATTCTGTTTTAAAATATATGTCTGTTTATTTAGATTTGATAAAATTGATGTTTTTTGAGAAAAATATTTTTTCCTTTTTCCTTTTTTTTTGACAAATTTTTGACATGTGGTTTCAGCAGTGACATTCAGTAATTTTTCGAAATATCATTGATATGGAATAAACTCCAACATGATGTTACTTTTAGATTGAACCAATCAACCTAATAAGGTCTGAATAAATAACATACAGATGAATGACATCTACCGATTACCAAAATGTCTAATATCTCGTCAGGACACTTCCTCCTCTTCAAGTTTTACCGATTGCTGTGAATTGAAAATATTTTAAATGATTTTTTGTTATATATCAATCTATAAAAGGAATAACAAGGTTGTGCATTAATCTTTTGATAAAATTTCACGATTCATTCTCAAAACTTGGTATAAAAAGTAAATGATAATTTAAAGTAAAACAAGATATCCCAGAGGGATATTGGCGCCCATCATTGTTCAATCTTTACAACGTTTTTAAAAAGTCTCATCTTTTCGCTTCTTTTCTGTTCTCTGTTTTTGCTCTAAATGATACCAAATTTTAACATTCCTTTGCAGAAACAGTGATAATAATCTTTAACTGCCAAATCCAAGACGCTTGCCCCTGAGCAGTTTTGTTTTTCTGATCAGTGCCAAAATCGAGGCAAAACTAGGGACCAAGGGGAACCTACATATGAAATTTGAGAGATATTCATCCAGTACTTCTCAAGAAACAGTGACAAGAAACTTTACTAGGCAAAATTCAAAATGGCTGTCTGTAGACCATTTTGTTTCTCTGATCAGTCCCAAAACCTAATAGTCACAATTCGGGACCAAGGGGAACCTACATATGAAATTTGAAAGAAGTCCATCTTGTCCCACTCAAGAAATAGTGATAACAAAAATTCTTTATAGACAGACGGACCATGGATGTAGGGCTGTTTTAATATACCTGCATCTGATGATAGTGAGCTAATAAAATTAAATCATTATTTATAGTTGAAATGATCTCTTGTTTATTCTTTTCTTCTTTTTTTCTTATTGCTAAAAGGTACATAGAGGTGATTTTATAATTTTTAAAGCGAAAGCCGCTTAAACTTTGATACCGCAAAATTGTTGGGACCGCATATAATTCTTAGTTACAGGTCACCACATATTCAAATCAATCCAAACTAAGGAAGAGAGGGATTTGGCCGAGACAAGATAAACATGTTACACACTGATTATCAGAGTCTGAGATAAAGAATATAGACAGTTTATTGTTCATAAAAGAATGTAAAATTTCAAATAAAATTGAAGCTAAGTCAATGAGCACAGAGCAATTGTACACTGTAGACATAAAAGTCTTAGAAGTCAGCTGATTTTATCACCTTTCACTCTAAAAGTAGTACTAGTATATAATTGTCCTAATTACAGTATCTGCATGTTATCAATACAGCAATTACTGCAAAGGCACAAAGTCATCGTGCTACTTATCAATTAAAAATTGATACTGTGCTAAAATTCAATTGAAACAAAACATGGCAGTAGCAATCATTAATAAATTCATTTTCAAAAAAAAATTTATTATCAAATGCCGTCTCATTACATATATGGAATATCACTGTGCATATGGGGAAACAAAACAGACTAAAAATTTTGGCCTTCAAATAATTTCTGTGAGAAACAAGCCAGTTTGGTACATCAGAGAGTTAACTTTCAGGTTTAGGCATCCAGAAAATTGTGTCGACTGTTAATATCATTCTTATTAATACATTTTCATCTGATGAAAGAAACATGATATTAAGCAGATTCCACTGTATCATATTACAGATTCTGCATTTGGTTTAGTTCAACTGCTTTTCCATCTACCTTCAATACTTTTCTGGACAACTGAATCCCTAAACTTAATTTTTGCATTTCAGAATTTAAAGTCAGTGATACAGATGTATATATACATGAACTTCACTGCTATAAAATTATTCATTTTGGATATATATAAAAGTATAGGTTTGAAAACTTCAAGTGACAAATTTCAAACATGCAAATTTTAAATGATTTGATGGGTGCATCAATGGACTTCAAATCAAAATAATTTTAAAAGCCTATAGGAACTATTTGCAAAGACAGACTTCTGAATCAAGTTACTTACAGGAAGAACACGTGATTTTGTTTCTATGGGGAGAGTGCAGGAACAGAGAGCTGCTGCAAGCCCCAGTGATCCATACACCCAAACAGCTGCTGTTAAGGACTGGTCTAGTAACACCTGTAACAAATACACAATAAAGGATGACCTATGATAATCCAGCTTTATGTCATCCACACAAAATTACCTTTTATAACAACATTTCATCAAACAATGATTTTTATTGGAAGAAAAAGTGCTTTAAAATCTTTCGCACCCTTGAGAAAACTTACCTGAGCTACAAAAGGTGTCAACATTGCCCCTACACGGGCCCAGGCGGAGGCTGTCCCAATTCCAAGGGTCCTAATTGTAGTTGGATACACCTGTAGTATTTGTAGTCAATAAAAAGTTTTAATTAGAGGTGATTTGTTGGCCCTTAAATGTTCTCATGACAAAATGAGAATAGTCTTTGTGTATGGCATGTAACTGTATTTATTTATTTTATGTTCTCCTAATATATGTCATGTGCACCAGGTGGGAAAATTTTCCTCTAATACAGAATATGTGCACCAGGTGGGCTCTCCTTGCAGTAAATAGGTGGAAGGCATAATGGTTCATGAGGTAGCTATCCTAATGAACAACAAAGCAATTCCGTTCAGTGTCTGGTCCAAGATTACAACCCTATCAGCAGTTTGTTTCTCAATTTTCACAGAAACACAAACTGTCATGGTAGAGAGCATCGACATATACACCTAGGATCTTCAATTAAGGTTACGTAAGCCAACTCTCAAACAAACCGAATTTCAAAGAATGAACATCAGCATCAATGACACCATGAAGGAGTCTGTTTCTCAGCTTCATGACAAACACAAACTACCACAGGTAGAGAGTGTCAAACTAAACATCACTGATCTTCACATGAGGTATAGGTGAACACGCTACTGACAGATGGCAGCCCTCATGTCTTTCTTGTCTGTTTCATAAGTATTGATTTCACAATTTAAACAGACCTACATATCATTGTATATTTGTACAATGCCAGATAAGTTAAAAGTTGGGTTTAAAATTTAAATTCAAGTTTAAAATTTAAATATTTGTTAAAATTTGTCAGAAAAAAAATTGTGATTTTCATTTTATTTATCTTTGGAGCTAACAAGGTCATGACCTCTCTGGTCTGATAACTTAAATGTCTTTGCAAACATGCATGAATATGACCTAGTCTTACCTCAGCAGTATAAATGTAGACAAAATTGAAGTTTGCAGCAGAGAACCCACGCACTAGCAACATAATGCCAGTGAGAACATTTTGGGGCATATTAATCTGAAGTAAAATGAAGAAGGTTGCACATCCGGCTAGATCTATGGCCCCGGTCTTCCGTCGACCAATGATGTCAAACAAAATCATGTTTACAGGAAGACCTAGTAAAAAACCAGAAACAAAGTGAGGTTAAGGGAAGAATTTTATGAGGTGTTCACAGAGTTCTGTAATAATACCCATTCCCTGTTTTAAGTTAATCCTCCATTTCCTCAGCTTCAATTTATATTTTCTCTACCAGTTCATTCTGATACTTAATAAATCATGTTGACTTTGAAATACAAAATTAGAATAAAACAGTGGAGCAAAATGAAAATTAATGTTTAAAAAATTTTCAAAGTAGAAGCGTTCCCTCAATAACCATGCAAAACTCACAAATAAACTCTCCAATGGTTGATATAATCATCGTGATGTAGTCATCATATTTCAGGAGGTTACATGCACAGTTCTCTCCCCCTGATAGCAAAAATTAAATCCACATTTAAGTGACAGAGGTTACAATGATAAATAAAACATCAGTTAATGATATATATGATTAACAAAATTTCAATACTGTTTGAAACATAAAGAGTCCTTAGGTTCTACATGGCTCACACAAACTCAGAGACTTTAAATTCCAATACTTTTCCAGGACTTTTCATGGACAACGATCAAAGTATTAGTTTATGAGTTTTCATAAAAAATATTGTTTATATCTGCTTTTAAACAACTTTAATAATGAGATATTATGTTGCCCATAAAAAAATAGAAAACAAAATTTGGTGATGATTATATAAGGGCACATGAAGACGTATTTTATTTTCACACACAGATAACAAATAATCCATGACTTTCCAGACATGACATTGAACTCCAAATAATTTCCAGCAAATTTTGAAATTCACTGACTTTCTATATCTATATACATTTTACATTCATATTGTAAGCAATTATGTACTTTAACTTAAAATCAGGAAAAATTAAATGTTAGCTTCTCTAAAGGTTCTTATGAATATAGTGTTCAGTTTTGACATTCAACTTTATAAGGCACCTTCATTTTTAACGTTGTGGACCTGGAGTATTTCAGCACTAGCTAGGACCATTCCGTAGTAAGAAAACGCTGTGACAAACCAGAGTAGCCACACCTGAAGGGTCGTCCTCTTGTACAGAGGGGAAAACAGATCTCTCATCTTTCCTTGTTCTGTCTGAAGAAACGAACAAAAAAATCATATTTCATCTAAAAGATGATACAAGTATTTATAACAGAAACTTAGATAAGAATTGAGGAATGCAATAAGTTTCTTATCACAGTGACCAATATTTCAAGGATACGTGTATAGTACTTGTCGGGATAAAGAAACAAAAGACCTGCCATTAATAATAGTCATGTCTCCAGTGTAAGAAATACAAAGCTCAAATTTCAAATCAAAAATTTCAAATCAAAACTTGCACAGATGTGATAAAAATACATCAACAGAAAATACACTTTGTAAATGATGAGGAACAAATGACTTAGTAAAACATGAAGACCAACAAACTTGTGTCTCTCACTTATTCTCCAGCACTTAAAGAGGAAAATATTTTAGAAGTTCTTGATCATATCTGACATTTTTGTTTTTTATTTTAATCTTTTTCCTTCCCGGTATGTTCCAGGTCATAATCCTACATCTTTCTGTTACTAAAACATTAACATTCCCACTCGTGGGGGCACTCAGCTATGCCCTCATTCAGCTTTGTAGTGTCCCCACGGCCTACTTACATTGTATGTCCTTCCTTCCACTTATTAGTATCCCCCCCCAACAGTCCTTCCCCTCCTTCACCTTATTGGACCCCCAACCTACTCTCGACATCCAATCATTACCTAGAAGGGTTTCCTTATGATATTACAGTATTTATGACACTGAAGTTGATACTATAGATATCAACTGAACTGACCACAGTACTGCTGATGAGACGTCCTTCTGGTATGGTAGCACTGTTGGTCCTGGCGGCTTTCTCTAACACTTTGATGGCCTCCTCTCTCCTGCCAGCTGCCACTAAATACCTGGCTGACTCTGGGAGGAACTAGACAATATAATATTTCTGTAATTTAACTTTCAGTTTCTGATTTCAATGGAATCACACCTATATATCTGACATATATCTGAAACATTGTTATAGCTAGAGTTCCACGGTTATAACAGAACTATAGATAATATACACTGTACTTATCTGGAAGAACACTCAAAATTGATAAGAAATATTACTAACCATTATCATCATAAAATATTAAAAAAAAGACTCAACATGTATGGTACAGTAGATGTGACAATTCTACAAATGAATTTGATAATTTGATCAGAATTAGGGCTTTACTGGTAGTCAGGACTATGAACAGGAGTTAATGAGATTGAAAACCAGTTACACCATCTTTAAACCTTGCACACTGAAGTCACACGAGATTAATCCTTCAATAAACTGCAAGATTTTATTGGTAGTTATTACACTGTAATAGTGGAAAATGTGTCTGAATGAAGAAATATCAGACATTTTAATGTTTATCATAGTAAATATTCTAATAATGAATCAGTACAAATTTGACAAAACAAATTAAAAACTGAACTAAACAAAACACTCCATGGCAAAGCTGTCGTTTATGTAAGCAATGATATACATGTATTTTGTTAATGAGGGAAGATCACGCTACATTATAGGTACATGTATGTGTTTTTGTTGTCCTTTTAACATCATAGATATGAAAGGGACAAGACAAGGAAATCTTACATTGGTATAAATTGTAGATTTACATGTCCAAAGTATTCAAGAGAAGGAAGAATTCAAAATATATATACACCTTATTATCAGCCTGTATACAACAGTACATATAAATGTAGAATCATACATGTACGTACCTTCATGACGATACAGATAATGAAGCTAGGTATAGATGAGATAAACAACAGCCACCTCCAGCCAAGGGTAGGGAGAACTATAGCAGCCGTGATAATCTCAAATGATGTTCCCATTGCCCAGCTTATCTAAAACACAAATTCTGGATTAATTAAACACACAAACACACACAAAAGATAGAAAATAACCTCAGAGTAGAATCAGAATGATGTGTCTCAGTTCTATTCTTGTTATCACCACAAACTCACCTGTGTTAAGTTTAGCAGTTTTGCTCTGTGATTTGAAGGTAAATATTCTGTCAGTATAGCAAAGCTGAAATGAAAATGAAAATCAGTTATATGTATATATATGCTGTGTTGCTTTTACAGAAGTCCAATGGGCCTGTATCGCTTACCGGGTCTGCTACTTGTTACAGTAAAGATGATTTGTTTGGGGAACCATTCATGAAACAAAATCTCACTTCCCCTAAAATTTTCCAGCAAGTTACTATCAAAATACCATGACCTAGATCAGCATTTCTTTGATGTAGGTCAGGACAAAATATAGGTTAGAGTGACCTACTTATGATGAATGACACACTGCCTTAGTTAAGTGAATACATAGCCCAATTATGAAATTCCAGCAACAAGCAGTGTAGTAGATCCAGTCAAGACAAACTTTTCCTTGATACAGGTCAAAGTTCAAAATATCAGTAAGAGTGACCCAGTTTTAATCAATGACACTGCCTCACTTGGGTGAACACATACCCCAAGTATGAAATTCCAATGCTAGGAAATGTAGGTGATACAGCTAAGACAATTTTTTTCACTGATATGGATCAAAGGTAAAAATATAGGAAAGTACGACCTAGTTTGGATATATGACACATCGCCTCACCAATGTGAACTCATATCACAAGTGTAAAGTTCCAGTGACAAGTACTGCAAGAGATAGAATCCGGACAAGATGGCTGAATTATGAACGGACAAAATTCAAAACTATGATGGCTCCATGTTCCCTATGGAGTACTAAAATCCTGATAAAGACCTTGGCTGATTGCTACTTTTGAAGCCAAAACTTGGATAAACAATCCCTTTTCAGTGATCATTTTTACCTCCATCATAAAAGATTATTTCATTCTTGATCAAAGAGATCATATATGTTAGAGCACTGTGATACCAATCTCCAGACTAGTCTGTTCTCAACATCAAAAGGTTGTGTACATAATAAAGATATTGAATTTAGATGTTCTTACGCCTGTGGTGATCCTGCCAGACCTCCTCCAACTAAGCTCCTCAGTATCAGAATCCAAACATAAGAGGGACTGAAGGTGGTCAACAGTCCAAAGTACCCAATCCACAAGCTTACCATATACAATGTCTACAAAATACAGAGGTCAAAGTTCATTAGTAAGCATATCCACAGGCATGCACAATGTCAACATAATACTAAGGTCAAAAGTTATTAGTAAGGAAATCTACAGGCATGTTAAAAAATACAGAGGTCAAAGGTTATCAGTTGGCCAATTGACAGGCATGTAAGCAACAATGGTTTATCATTTAGTTCTAATGTAAAAAGATTAGAACACAGTCAACTAGGTAACTATAATATAGTCATTGTCCAATCTATTGGCTTCATAGAGAGGTCAGAGGTTACTAATCTATCGTAAACACACACATTTTCAATATATACACATTCTATTAAATACAACATTGAGGTCAAAGGTCAAAAAATATAAATCTACAAGCTGTTGCACTAAGAATATTTTCTATAACGTTTATAATATGTAAATGTTAAAAGTCAAACATAAATATTTTCCCATTATTTACATGTGTAAAACATGTGTATAACTTAACATTGATATCAATCTTTGAGACAAGCTGTAAACATGTTGTATTGAATGACACCTCTTGGGTAGTTTAAGATTTCAACATCAACGTAAATTCCCAGAAATTAGAGATGGATCTTATATGAAATACAGCTGTAAATGTAAAAGTATATATTAATTTTATTGTTTACTGCAAATGTAAAATTTTCAGACATATCTTTTATTCATTTTCTTCTATATTTGTTTGACCTTCTGTTGTTCCTCCTGCCTCCTAGTCTCCTCCCAGCAAAGCTAACTGATATTAATTGATAGAATCTGGTGCTTTATCTATTGTTGTACAATAAACACTTATGATATATATGTGAACATTCTAATTTACATGTAGCTGAAATTAAAATCACACTAGATATATATACTTACTGTCCTGCGACCAAATTTGTCTCCCATGGCTCCCCATATTGGCGCAGTTATCCCCATTCCTACGAAGACAACCTGAAAAGTTATGATTCAAAATACTGTACAAAACTTTGAAACAGTGTAGTGAAGCTGTGCCACTGTGTAGATTCACATGTTTAATTAATTCATATATAGGTTTTTTTTCTCATAAAATTGACCGATTCAAAGATTTATGAATCAAGATTAAAAAAAGTGAAATATTTGTTTACTGAACATTAATGTCAGTTTACCCAAGGCTACATAACAGTAGATGAACTAAGAAACGGAAATAATCAAATGAAACTTCTTCACATTTAAATGGATTTTTAAAAATGATGTCCTTTTATTAATTTTTGCTCTACTGTATCTCACTCAAAATTTGTATTAAAAGGTGCTATTCACTTGTGTGTCTTTTGTACAATCTTTAAGATACCCACTCATACTCAAAACATCATTAAAAAAAGATGACAGTGACTTTTATACTGGTGTGTTCCTGTTAGATCAGGACTATCATCATATACATGTGACTTCCTAACAAAATAAGTAAAAAGATCATGCCTTGGTTAAGTAAAGTTTAATACACTGTATTTTTCAAAGGCAGTAGACAAAGAGATCTGCTTTTTACTTAATATTACGATTTTCTGAAGGTTTAAATCTACTTTAAATTCTTTGACTTTCAGATTCTTTTAAGAGGAATCATAAGTATTAGGAAAATGATCTTTTGGCCAAACAAAAAAAAAATAAAAAAAGTTTCCTGGCCCTGGGCACCCCATATACTTCTAAATGTTTTTAATGCAAGAAGCACCATCAAGTCAAAATCTCTCTCCTATATAAACAATAAAAATTATTTTGTTTAGACAAAATTTGTAGCCATCCCATCTTCCTGAATTATTTCAACATATTACAGGCAACAGATGTTTTTTTCATTTGGCTTTACTATGTGTGGAAATTCAATAAATGCATGTAGTTACCGTGGTGATGAGGGCCACTTGGTATTTTTCAAGCTGCCACTCACAACGTAGAACAGGAGATAAAACTGCCAACAACATCATCTCCATGGCATCAGCCGCCTACAACAGAAAATATTCAGTTCTTTATAATATTTAACTCATCATTACAAACAAATTCTCTAAAAAATTCGAAGAAAAAGACAAATATGTGTTTTCAGAGTCCCACAACCCCTTGGGTTCCACTAGGATTATCCCTGACCCCCATCATCAGCATACAACACTCAATCAGGCAAAGATGTACAGAATATAGTGAGAACATGGTATGTCAAATAAAAATGGAGTCTTCAAATTCTGTATTGAAGCCTATTATAATAATATGCAGTTATTATGACCCATTTTTCAACAATTGTGTTTAAACAACAATAACCAAATTCTGAGACAATCACAATTAACTCACTGTAAATAATCCACAAATTATGAAGAGCTTCAGCTGAAAAAGACCGAAGCCAAGAGAGTCGATAGCCTCCTGTACAGTGAATGTTGGCCCCGAATATTCATCATCATTCTCATCTCCGGCTTCACGCTGTATCAGTGACACTACCTCCAAGTCTGTAATAATGCAACAACAAAAACTAATCAAGCTCGTTGACTGCAATTGCAGTTTTCCACAAACTTATGCAAAATAATAAATCTTTTTCTTTAAGATTTTGCAAGCACAAAATATGAAAAGGTAGAAATAAGGATTTGTTTTGAAAATGGGATAATGGTCACTTAATTGACATAAATGTCACAGAATATAGTCTTCATTAAATTTCATTGAATTCAGGCACTATAACCAGAACCGAAAATTGATCTTTTTACAGTGTATACCAGAGTTATAACACAATTTCTGGAAAAAAATCAATGATTAGAAACTCTGTACATATGTACACCGAAACTGAATGAACCCTGAGTTGGCAAAATGTTCATTATGAAAACATCTTTTACATGAAGCTTTTTAACTGAAAATGATTACCTCCATCAATTTCATCTGATTCATCTTCAAGGTCCGAGATTCTGACCTTTGAGTATTTAACTGCATGTGACCTATGCCTGCCTCTGTGGTCGTCATAGTAACTATCGGAGTCTGACAACAATGTTTCCATGGAAATTGAGACTTCAACTTGCACACAGCAAGTTTAGTATGTCTATACCCAGACTTAGTTACATACTCGGCCTTAGCTTTAACCTGAAAAGTAAAACAAAATTTAATAATAATGCTGTTTTTTGACATATACATCAGTGATTTCTATGGTGACCAGTGTCAAGAACTGAATAAAAAATTCTTCTATTCTATTCCTAATGACATCAGAAGTGACTTTCATAATTCATATATAACATTAATGTTGATCATCTAGTATGTATACTCCTTCGTTAATTTTCTTAAATCCTCATCTTCACAGTCAGCAATTAATGTTGAAGATCTAACAGCTGAGCTATTATGGAATTTCATGGATAAGTGCACCTCATTTGCATACAGTAATTGTTTGTATGGGTTTGTGATAAAGTACCATGTTACCATGTTTATGTACTGAAGATAAGCAACTTGAAGCCAGGTCACTCAGTGATAAAGTGCTGTGTTTATGTACTGAAGATAACCAACTTGATGCCAGGTCACTCAGTGATAAAGTGCTGTGTTTATGTTCTGAAGGTAAGCAACTTGAAGCCAGGTCACTAAGTGACAAAGTGCTGTGTTTTTGTACTGAAGATAAGCAACTTGAAGCCAGGTCACTCAGTGATAAAGTGCTGTGTTTATGTTCTGAAGGTAAGCAACTTGAAGCCAGGTCACTAAGTGACAAAGTGCTGTGTTTTTGTACTGAAGATAAGCAATTTGAAGCCAGGTCACTACATGAAGTACTTGGATGAGTGACCACACAGTTGTAACCCCAGTACATTTGGAGACAGCAAGCCGGCCTGGTATCCTATAGGGTGCATATCATACAGAATGGGAAGCACAGTATCCCCTAAGACATGTTCAGGACCAGGAAGTCTAACAACGAGAGGGAGAGATGATGAACAGTGGGTGCTAACTAAATGAATACATATTATTCATGTATACTTTGTGGTTTGAAAAGTGTCTACTATTAGGGTGTAGAAGTTGAGGGTATAGGTCGCCTTACTTGCCTCGGCTAGTGGGAATTTCCCTTTAGTCGGGCGGTAGAATGTCCGTCTAGAGACCGAAGGGTCGCTAGTTTGAACCCGAGCGGTGGCAAGGTGTTTTCATTACTCCTTCCTTTTACAAGGGTATAAAAACATAATTCAATCAGGTAGGAAATATCGTATACGCTTAAGAACATGACATGCTAATACCAAAATGAAAATTATATAAAAAATGACCTTGTCCATCCAAACTTTTGAACTTGTCAACAGCTGAAATATCTTACAAGACAGCGTACATTTTACATACCGGTCAACCGGTAACGCAACTGTTGAAGCATATATAGACAGACGGCAATTAAAAAGACAATAATAGCGAGGATCAAAACATAATTGAGTTATGTTAAGACACGATTAACACAACGAAATATAATTAAATATTTCACTTTTCGCAGAAAACAACTCACCTGTTGTCGTTTACCTGTTAATGTTTACCACGTATAAAACCGGAAGTGATAGGGAGCACGCAACTAATGGAATCGGTTTTATAATATGACTGAGACAAACGTTCTATTTAGGGTTTATGAAAGCTGTTTATAATATGATCAATTCCATTCTTAAGTTATGACAGCAATTGCACTAAATTAATGCATAGTTACCATTTTAACCGGCAACGATAAGATTTGAGATGATTTCACATATATGACATGAATCCGGAACATATGGGAAATAACTCTTTGTACATCACAGGAATCAATTATGACAGACAGAAAATTTCTCTCCCTGAAATAATAATTTAATTTCTATATTCACATTTATTATGCTGTTATTGACATTTACATTCAGTCTCTAAAAGGAACATAGTCAATTAAAATGCTCCTGATCTAAGAATGAGCATAGCTACATAGACTGACATCACTGAAAACGTAAACCACATTTGCTTCTAGTTGTTTTGTATGATAAGCATGCTGAACATGTATATGTGTGTGTGGTGGGGTGGGGGAGAGGGGTGTGCATTTACGTATTTGCCAGGAGTTTTCAGTTGTTAATCTTCAAACTTTAACTGCTACAGTTACTGTTCTGTTCATTTTGTTTTTTGTTTTTTTGTTTTTTTTTCAAATTCTAGATCTTCTCGCAGTTTTATTTGTTTTAAACCAAATCCAGGGGTGTCTTTATCATACGCCCCTGACCAAATCAGATCATAACTTCGTATATTGACTGTAGTAATGTGTGCAATCATATAGGACATAGAATCGGACGATAAGAAATTAGCCCACTAAAGAGATGACTAAAGTTCACAGCTAAACTAGAGGGGTTTTCAGTCAGGGTTTTACTGGCGCGTCCTTCTAAATAACTGACCATATAACTTCATATAATAAAATGTGATGTTTTATTCAACAGATTGAATTGTAACACTCTGAGTTTTATAATAACTGAAGGTGGTTACTTTTTGTTTGTGATTTTGAACATGGATATTTATGCTATCATGGGTTTAAATTCAAAATGAGTCCGATATGTACCGTACTATTGCGGACTAGCAGATGTGTCATTGATATGTAGGCTACAACAGATACCTATATAAGCATGACTGTACGGGTCTTCCGAGTAAAACAGTAAAAACGTATTAAAACATAGTGTAATTTTATAAAATCACTCATCTATGACTGGCCCCATTCTACAAGTGGGCTCTCGCGCCTCGATAAGCGCTAAGGGGACGTAACTTATGGTATCCCGTCTAAATAGCTGTATATGTCGCTATTAGCCTATATGTTTTACTGTACATGTGTTCAGAGACACTGGCGGATCCAGAGGGACGCACCCGGCGGCCACCTGCCATCTCAACTAAAATTGGCCAAGTAATCATTCTTTGCGAAAATAATAAACCTAAAATTTCATCATCACAGACTGCATGTCGGCCAACGACACTTCGATCACATATGACCTGTGAGCATCATGTATACATACTTTGATAATTTCATATTTTGTATTTCTACCTAAAGATGTTCCTTAGTAAAAACGGACCTGAAGGGACGTGTATTTTGATCAGTCTCCAAAGTAAACATCTAGTCTATGACTTTCTATAAGATTATTTGTTGCAACAAAGACACATAAGTTTTTTTTCTTTCTTTCTTTTTGCAGTCCTTTTTAGGCACGAAACTCTCCAGGGAGGTACTCCTTACACAAAAAATAAAACAGTATGAAACATATGCGGAATAGTATCAAATGTAGTTTAAGATCATGTTGTAGTGAAGGGAGGACTGAGAAATGTACAAAGAGGAACACATAATAAATCGTGACAATGATATCACGTCATAATTCTATGACGTCATCAATTGCACATCATCACACGAGATCTTCCGGCCATTGTTTCTGTTGCTAGCGACACGAGGAGGTGAGCTTTAGGCCTGCAATGAAAACAATTTTCGACAACTATCGCACGATCAACCCATATTGTTGATATCTACCTTTGCTGGATTGGAAATTAAGTCAGATTGAGGTGAGCAATTTTGTAATCAATTTAATGAAATACAATCTAAGTGTATAAATATGATATCAAATCTAGGCCGCTAATTGGTCAGTGAAGAGTAACAGTATTTTGGTTCGTAGACCCGGGTTCGAATCACGTCTGCGTTGCTTGCTATCTTACTGAAGAAGGTATTATAATATTAAGGTATACCTATGAAACGAAGCCTTCAAACTGTCTTATATCCTCATGCATTTCAAAGTAGTAGTTGCATGTTTGCAAAACATAATACTCATTCATTACATGTATCTGATCAGCGTTAAAATATCTTTCATCTCCCCAAAAATTGAGAATTGTCGAAGATGTCAATGTATCCCGAATTCCGCAATAAATTATCAATATATACTTGAAGTATAGGGTTGTTGGATGCAAATAATACTGATATAAATTTGGTGAAGCTTCCTCCTACTCTGTTTATATATCCTCGTAATTCCAGGAAATCGGGTTTATAATTAAGTAAAAATGGATAACTCCTTCTTACAACTTTCTCGTGCAGTTCACAATCCATATCCGTATAATTTAACTGGGTTTTCCTACTTTGGTAATTATAAGATATCAACTGTGCGCATGTTGATAAAATCGTGGATGATCGTGGAGTATTTAAACGATTCTTGAATCTTATACTTTTAAAGCCAAGAAGAAGAGAAAAGACTCCTACCCATACCCACACACACATAAACACATTGATATATTTGTACTGCTGATCTGGATTTTTGTTATGTTGTATTATACAAAGATGTTATTAAGACGTACTAAAAGATGTGTATTACGGTTGGCCAATGAGTATATATAATCTTATGTAATAAGAAGGAATAATGAAAACACCCTTTCTATAGTTGGGATTTGAACTTGCGACACTTCGGTCTCTACCTCTCGACCAAAGCGAAATTCCCACTTGCCAAGTCTTCTACACTACTCGCTTCTTCACAAAGTCTTCAACCTCGAAGACTACAACAACCCACATTCAATATCTCCAAGTAAGCATTCTCAATCTCCTATAGCTTCAACAATTGGAGTGGTCACGGCACCAAATCTGTAACAGGAAGGTGCTATGAAAAGCATCTTGCCACTGCTGGGGTTTGAAGTAACGACCTTTCGGCTTCTAGCCAGACACTCCCTCCGCTCGACCAAAGGGAAATTTCAACTAGCTAAGGCTAGTAAGATGACATGTACTCTCCATTTCTAAAACATGTACCACTAAGTATTTATTTACTGAGTAAGAGAAAATGAAAATCCAGTACGTGTTAGAAACAAACATTTTTAACGGTGGACATCTATTGAAATTTGATGAAAGGTAGTGCATCCAGCGTCACGTTTTTGTTTTGATTTCAACGGCATCCATCTGTGTTATTTTTTAAAATCCCGCTGCAAACGGTTCAAAATTAATTGAAAATTCAAATTTAGAAATATCATATTTACATTTTATTTACAACACAATTCACATGTAAAACTTTAACCCCTCACCTGTTAGCAACACTCTACTCCAGGATTTCCCCCATCCACACAGTGTAAAAACTACACAATACCACGACAGGCTAACCCTTTAACTACTATGTTATCCTTTATCAGAACCAGTTCACCTACCTCACCACTAAGTATTCCGATTACTCAAGTCACGAGTTCTTTTCTGGCTTCCGTTCTTAGTCTGTACACAAGCCCGCCCTCAAAGAAGCCCCTCGTTAATCTCCCCTTTACAGACTCAACTACATTAAGATGTGACCCTCCTAATTCATGCTTTATATTTCGTCGTCCTGCTGTCACAACATAAGAATGGTTTGTCATATTTCAAATTAAATCCTTGTTTCGTTGATGTAGTTCCGATCTTTGTATATTTCAGACTTTACGATGGACGACACGCACATCGAACAGATTGCGAAAACTTTAGTCACTAATGCTGTACAGAAAGCCATTGAGAAGGTTCGCGCTGAAAGCATTGAAATGGCGGGAGCTATGGAAAGCGCTGTGGATGACATAGTAAAAATGACCATTGGACAATCAATATCAAACATACAACTGGGCCACACATCACCAACTGACCACAAAATGGCGGAAATGAGAGATGAAAATGTAGATGATATCGTTACGCAAACACTTGAGCGTTCAATTCTGTCAGTTCGTAAGGGACTAACATCACCAACTGACCAAATGATGGCGGAAATGACAGGTCAGTTAGACAAGAATGTTGATGTCACAATTGAAATGACCATCGGGAGGTCCATCCAGGCGATTCGTGACGGACAAACATCACCAACTAGTATCATGATGCTAGACAATGATATGCGTAAGCTGGCAGCTCCTGAAACAGGAAGAGACGTAGAGACACATGATGCAAAACCAATAAAAACTAATAAAGGTATTACGATAGTCTCAAGTAAAAGAACTAAAGTAACATATTTTAATCTTTCTTTTTTTTCCTGGTAAATTAATTCATGTTTTCAAACGAAATAATACTTATTGTCGGATTTGTTTGAGGCAAGATACTATAGATATCTTTATACATCAGTAGATTTACAACGGCAAAACAATCTTGTTTATTTTTGTTTCTTTGTCCGCGCACGTGTAACTTGATTCAGTTCAATCCATTTGATATTTTTCTATATGAATAGAGGAAGAAAAGACTTTTTCTTTTTGTTCATTTAGAAATTGTCTTCTGTGGTCCCAGAACGGACAATATCAAGGCCCCGCTTGTAAGCATGACTACAGGTCATCATCACGCAGCTAGCAAAGAAAAGAAAAACACTTTCGAGCGATTTCTTGACAGAATTTTAGGAGTAAGTATTTCATGGTTTTTATTTTGTGTTATGTACATATCGTATATATTTAATCTTTGTGCGAGAGAGACAAGCTGTGAACCTGCTTATGAAATTGTTGTCATTGTTACTCAACGGAAGTTGATTTGTTATTTTAGAGAGGAGAGAAAAAGAATACAAAGAAAAGGACACCAGGTAAGTGTAAAGATAAACATGAATTTGATTTTTGAGGCATTTAATTCTCCCAATCAGTGAGTCTCAACTTTGAAACTTTTTACAATTTTATTTGCTTTATTTATTCGGTGGTGAAACTAAATATACAAATGATCGGGTTTTATCATCTAATTCCTATAAAAAGACCATTTATCTATAGAGTCGATCACCAGATACTTATTTATATTCATTCGATTTTTCTCGGCTCATTTAACAGAAGCAAATGACAGCGCCACAAGTGGAGAAATTAGTAAAAAATCATCAAAGGCTCATAACAGAAGAGATTGGATACTGAAGCACGTGTTGTGTTGTTTCGTCCGCCAGACGGCGACAGTGGAGCCTGACGATATCTGAAATTGACATAGGTTATCCAAAGAGATATTAAACAAAAACTATAATGAACGGTATGAGGCATGGGAAATCTGTCACAGCGTTTTAAAGAAGAAGGAGAAAATTAAACAAAAACAAAAAAAATCGTTGCAGCGGCAGATAACGAAACAACCATTTATCCAATGATTTTTTAATATGATAATATATTGCATGTGTGAATTTGGACTGCAGTTCATATTTTAAAGAAGAGAGAAAATCTTTAAGATGTTGATGCTAAACCGATGTAAATTCCAAAAGTAAGGATGCGTTTCTCTACATAGTAATAATTCGATAATATTCAGTCGGCGGTTGATAGTCACTGTTGATTGACTTCTTTTGAAAATGATGTATATTCGTTATACAGATGTATAACTGTTATCGGGATTGAATCATTGTAATTATATTCTGTTGTTTCTTTCTATCATTTACAAAGCTTTCTGTTTGCCAAACGGAATTTAAAAATAGCGTCAAGGAGGATAACTCTGACGGCACTTTCCACGAAATGTCGCCAGCTATTTTCCCTGGCTATAGCTAATATATGCTTCCTTGATGATGATGATGATGATGATGATGCAAAAGAATCAGCATATTTTCGGCCATTTTTTTATCATTAAGGAATAATATTACGAATTCAATAAAATGTACCCGGACGTCTTTTTATCTAACAGTTCAAAAACATATTTATGGTTTTTGTTGTGTAAATGATTTTAACAATGATGAAATAAATATTTGTATATTATTGTTTTCATGCCTAGCTACATTTTTTATGCAATTTGGTATAAAAATTCAAATTATATTTGCCATGAACAGGTGTATATTATAGACTGGATTTCCTGCCTTCGTTAGAACTTTTCTTCGGTACACTGAGCTCGTTGAAACTATTTCCGAAGCGAAACTTAGTGTTGAGTAGTAAAACAATGGCACGCAATCCTGACTTAAGTATATACTATATCAGTATCTGTGATGAATTATTTCCACGTACAATAGCAGGAAAAACCACACGAAATAGAACGATTCGGTATTATTTTGAATTCATATATTTTTTTTGCCCTTACGAATGTAAAAGTTGATCATTACGATCGTAGATCTCAGTCTGAGAGTCTACCTCGTTTAGTCCGCCATCTGTTTTATTTAGCTTTGGTACAATTTGAACATAGCAGTTAGCACACGCGATATAATTTTTTCCTTTAGTCAATTTTTTATATAAAGCTGCCGAAAGGTCGAAAGGTCGAAAGGTCGTAATACTATCTGTCTCTTTCTCTGTCTCTCTCTCTCTCTGTCTCTCTGTCTCTGTCTGTCTGTCCCCCCTCTCTCTCTCTCTCTCTCTCTCTCTCTCTCTCTCTCTCTCTCTCTCTCTCTCTCTCTCTCTCTCTCTCTCTCTCTCTCTGGTTAGGGATAATAGTTAGGAACATGTAGGAAACAAAATTATATGCGTAGGGTAATGTAGTCGCCATTTATATTTGTATTCGTAACAGTATAAGGAGTAAGCCTTGTAGCCGTTTGAGTGGTTATATGTTTATCAGATTTGGGATTGTCAAAAACTATTGATAACCAAATATGGCACACAAAAGAAACACTATCGAGCTAGAAGTAACATGCTGGGACTTTCCAAAAAGATTGATCTATGCACTTTTCACATTCAAAAAATTACACCTCGAATGCCTTTGTCAATAATACTGTCAACCATTATTATCTCGAACTTGTATAACTCGAAGACCCCGTGTAATTCAGCATTTCATCGGTCCCTGTCTTATCTCGATTATCTCGAAAGTTTTCCATGGCCCCGTCGAGATCGAGATATAACGAGGTTCGAATGTACAAGCAGTCTCTTCGGTCAGTGAATGTATGTTTACCAAAAGCAACATTACAATCATCACACTGCACGGTTTGAGTCCGATCCTTTGGTTTGTCGTACAGTAAAGTGACACAATAGATATACAATTATAGTCCGAAATCTCTGTAGAGTTTCCCGGCGCTCTAAGGTCAGTGAGATATGCTTCCGGTGAAATTATCTTGGAGTGAGGAATGGGGAAGGGGATATGCGATCGGATTGTATTCAAATTTAAACTGAACATCAAACAATAGGGACTAGGCTTACGACAGCCCCCAGCTCCAGGTGTGTAAATGTCATTAAGTAATACGCTGCTACAACCATATCAGTTTCATAAATCAAAGTATTTGTCGTACCAATCCTGATTAATTTTGTCCAGAGTTCAACCCCAACCCCTAACTTCCAACTGGTTTTCTCTTCACGCGACATTTCCAACTACTTATGATTGATTACGTACGTACGTAGATTTTCTCATGGCGATGTTAGATTTTTCCCATGTTAAGTATTTTCCTTCCTCATCAATAACATCAGTCATTGTAAACTACAGAAATATTGGAGAGAAAATGGAATGCCATATTGACTTTGTTATTCATTAATCATCAACTTCTGCGCTGTGAAAAGTTGTGTTCATTGTCCAATTACAGTATCAGGCAATTAAAAAAAAAACGTTATCCATTTTACAACAATTGCGAAACAAGTTACTTAAACTTATACTAATCACTCTCGTTGGCCTGGATGTAAGCGCTCGAGGGGTCTTATTGTGGAAGGAAACCGGAGTACCCGGAGAAAACCCACCTGGTCGGGCAGGTGACTCTTACCTTTTCACGTCCGTTCCAGGAGGCTAGGTGAAAGACGAGTGCGTTACCACTGCGCCGCACGACCACCTAAGCAATACATCAATACATCCACCCGATACACAATACCTAATATATATATGTATATAAAAACTTAAAAAAAAACTGGAAAACACTATATTTATATGTTTTCTGGACACGGAGAATTTACCATATTTTCACAATATATATATATATGTATATATATATATATTGTGTGATCTGTCCCGTCGGGATCAGCACATACGAATTCCTCGTAGAACCGGAATAAAAAAAAATCTGTGATCAACTTCTTTACCCCTTTTATCCCCCACGCAGCAACTTACATACCGATGAAACATGATAGCACATGTCACGAGAATATTCCTATTGAGGCTATCGAAGCGGTTCTTGTTTACTGATGAGTCCCGGTTCACCCTATTTCGATCATGCGGCCGACGTCGTGTATACCGACGTCGTGGAGAACGTTTTGACGGCTGCTGCGTAGTAGAGACGGATGGGTGGATTGGTTATGATAGGGGGATTAATCTCACATGGAGTTAAATCACAACTGGTTGTGGTAGCGTGTTATTTTACGGCCGTTGGGGATAAAGATGAGATCCTCCGACCCCATGTTGTCCCATTATTGTAGTAAAACAACCTCACATTCCAGTAGGATAAAGCCTGGCCCGAAGTAGCGAGGATCTGTCGCGACATTCTCAAAAACAACACTCACTGGACTGACCGCCATACAGCCTCGATCTGTCCCTAACCTATTGAGCACTTGTGGGACCAGCTGGATAGATAGGTTCAACGATGCCAGCCTACCCCTGTTATTCTGGCCCAACTGAGAATAGACCATTGGGCCAACATCCCAATGAGGAGGATAAACTCACTCATGAACTCCATGCCTTGGAGAATCAGGGCTGTTGAGAGCGCTAATGGGGGACATACCTGGTATTGACTAGCCAGCTCCTACAATCAGTTATTTTCGATTTCAGATTACAGCGTTCTCTTTCTATTCTCTTAAGAATACTCCTAAATCACTTATCAGATACAAATAAGTGTTTTTGCAGTTTGTTCTGTATGGATTAATCTTCATTCTTACATAAAATATTGAACATTATTCCCGACGCCTTGCCTAGAACCATCTTCAAAGGTTACCCTGCATTTCTTTATCCCTTGAGTATATATATCAAACAATAATAACACGCTTATGCTTATATGTCTAAATAAATGATAACGAAAACATAACTGAGAGAACAGAACACATGTTCACGTTACAACTATCGGCACTTAACTAATAGTCGATGACACCAATCACATTTGTATTATTCTTCCATTGGGGCAGATTCTGACAACTTGCTCAACGTCTGATTGTCAATATAGATCAGTGCAGTATTTACAACTACTAACCAATATCAATGTAAGACTGCAAATGTTGGTTTTTAAAGAACATGTTAAAAATTTTCTTTCGGTATACATTTTTAAAAACGGCTCAGTAGTATAGAACACCAAATGTTGACTCTCGGGTATCTAATCGGTGTACGAGATCTCAAAAATTCTTTCCGCGAGCTTGACATTAATGAGTGGGAACAGCTGGAGAATACTAGTGTTAGCAAGCTATTGATATAATTGGAAGGTATTTCGTAAAGTGGCTTATACATTAATATACTAATGTTTTATTTAAATGTTAGAATTACATCTCATGTTTACATGCTTATTACTGATAGATATATAGATATTTCTGACATGTCCGAGCAGACAAACATTATATTAAGATAACGTTAGGTCCCAATTAGTTAATTTACGTTCGCATAGAAGAGCATGTCTTAATAAGACGTCACGAAAGATTTAAATATTGTTTATTTCAACTAGTTATATTATGAAAATAATAGTTTTTTACTTGGAGATTTTCTAAGGTTGTGTCGCTACCTTTAATGTCAGACAAGGCCAGTTTTATACATAGTTCCAAAAACGTTTTTGTCAACGTTTTAAACACAAAATCTCATTACTGTCGCGAGGCAACCATGTTACGTACATAAACTACTACCACGAATCAGTTTAAAAGGGGAAAAAGACTATGAAATATCACAGTTTGAAGAAGTCTGTATATTAATGACGAATCGCTGACAGGTGCTTGGAATTTAATATTGCTTCCATAAAACCCTGATGACGCCATATTTGTTTTCAACTGATAAAAAACCTGTGTGGTTTTATGGAGTTTTCGGTGTCTTAAATAATTTTGATATGTTAGTGACAATACATTTAACACTGGGGAATTATCTATTGAATGTCAAACGACGACGACCGTTCAGTGACTTCTCATGGGTATACGTAAT